TCCAAGGCCTGGGATTGATTCATATTCTTCTTGGAGGCTCTGGATGTGGGAGCTTTGACTTTGTTGTCTTCTCCTGGTTGTATGTTTTGATCTTCTTTGTCACCAAAGTAAGATAATATAGTCTGACTCTTTTTGCGCTGCTTACTCATGATCCCAGTCAATTACTTGAGTTTTAAACTCTTTGTTAAGGTAAAAGTCTGTTTCCAATGTGAAGAATGTACTGTCCCAAGCTTCAGGGATTTGTACAGCTGTTTTCAGAGATACTTCTAGGGACCTGAAAAGTGTCAGTTCTTCCAAGGTGCTATGATAAGGGGTGAGGTGTTTCCTCTCCACAGCCACAACAAGCTCCATCACACCAGCGTTCCTCCTTGCCCCAGGACCGCCCCTCAGAACTGTGACCCAGATCCAAGCACTGGTAAAGCAAGAGAATCCTGCCTCAGCACTGGCAAAGAGATCCCTGCAATCCCCCTCTGAACAGCCACCAGATTCCCCTTCAGTCTGTGGGCCGGAAGCTCAGAAGGCAGCCACTTCCCTCAAAATGGCTGAGATCTAGTTTCTTCTCTCACCGCAGTAACAGAGTTTTCCCACTGACCTTCTAAGTTGTCTTTGGAATTCATGGGTTAAGAAGTCTGGAAACCACCACAGCTACCTGTGATTCAGTCCTCTGAGGCCTGCTCCAGGGTCACTGCGGCCTGCTCACCCACACTGAACTGTGCTCCTCTCCACGCCCAGCGCGATATACCTTTCTGATCAACCATCCAGGTTGTCTTGGGCTGGAAATTTGTTTTACTCTGTTTTTTTGTGGGTTCTGCTGCTTTAGAATTTGTTTAGAGCCATTTTTTGTAGGTATTTGGAGGGGTTTGGGGGAGAGTTCTAACAAGTCACTGCTTTCCCTCCACCATCTTGGCTCCACCCCCTGGAATGTTTATTTCTATAATTCAAGTGAATTGCTAGCAGTGTGGAATACTTGGAATTGTGTACTTGTATTTTGTGTATTTGTGTTGTGATATCCCCTTACAATGCATCTGTGTATTATGTATACTTGTTAGTTAAGAGGTGTTAGTATCTTTGAATGTACACCTTTAAAATGGGACAAATGTGTTATAAAGGCTTGGGGGAAGCAGTCCCTATTGGCAAACCCCCACAACAAACATGTGCCTTTCAAATGTATAAGAAATAGGGCCTTGACGGTCCCTCATATTGCCAGGATTGGGTTGATTGACTAGTGGCGACCCTAAACTTTGCTGGCTTTGTTGGAGCAGCTTTGATAAGAGCAAATTAAAGTATTTAAGGCAGAAACGAATGAATAAGGAAACTCAGCCTCTTGAGTGGGACAGCTATAATAAGTGGTACTCAGAAGCAAAGGAAAGAGAGCATAGGTCTGAATTAGAATCAGTAAAAAAAGGATTAAATCATTTTAAAACCTCCTTAACAATCCCCAAACTACCCAGCTACCTAAAATATACCTACCTTTACCAGAAGACTCCATCAACTCCCCAGTTTCTATGTTCCCTTTCAAAGTAGAAAACAAAGTTCTCCAAGGGAAAGA